CTTTTGTTTACATCAGCTTCTTTGCTAACACTGCAGCAGAAAGGCTCAGAGTTCCAAAGAGTTTCCTTCATGTTTTATGTGACCATTGTTTCTCAGGCTGTAATAGTTGCCTCATTATATTAGGCCCAACGCCACCAAAAAGGTAACAGCTTTTTCACGCCAATTCTAACGTTCAGGAGCCTACTCCAGGGAGCTTATTGCTGTTAAACTCCCACATGTTAGTAATGACAGAGCATTTTATAAAGGGAAGTCTGGGAGAATGCTGACAAAGGTACTGCTGTGTGCCCACTGGGGTTGGGGCGCCCACACATGTTCAGGGGAGGGGACACCAGTTAGAACACTGACGGCAGAAAGCCCAACTCCAGCAGATGCTCCTGAAAGAAATGCTAGAAGCCTAAGAATTGCTGCCTGGTATTCCAACTAAGGCAAGGAAAGACTTGGTAGAAAAGAGCTAGTGAACTGGGTCAAAGACAAATTTTAATGGTACGAAATCTTACTGCACATGGAAGCTTCCAGCATGTGAGGGTAAAAGTCTTTTTTTTTTTTTTTTAGTGTGGCAATAAATATTCTAGCATTCGTAACTAAAAGGACCTAGACAACTAGGGATTCCATTATTACCATGCCTATACTGGCAGACCTTCTTGGGATGGATTTTTGGGTGTTAACTGATTCCCAGCCTAAAGGAGAGCGTGTACCTGGCTTCTCTCAGCCCAGTTCAGGGCCAGGAACTGCCACTAGATGGCCCAATGCCACACATTTAATTCAACTTTGTCCAAAGGAAAGCTTAAAATTCAATGTGTAGTTTTCTAGTTCAGTTTTAGGAAAGAAAAACACGAACAAATTCAGAAATAAAAAATGTCATAGGATAACTATTGGAACTGATTTTAAATGCCTTCTTTCTCGCCAAGCCCAAGAGACATGTGCTATAGAACAAAGACATTAGGCACTAAGTCACATCTTTCCTTTGACTAACTGGCAAAGGGAAGGAGGCCAATGTAAGAAAGGAAAAACAGAGTTTTTGAAGTGGGCAGACTGTACAGATATAGGGAAGAGAGGAGGCAGCACAGGAAGATGGAATGGGGCTCGTCTGGAAGCCCATTGGGCAGGGCTCTGTTCAGAGACCTCAGCATGTCCCTTCAGCCTAGGCGTCTGTCTGCTCGGCTTCATGACCTAAAGTTATCTCCATCTTAAGTTCCGTTGAGTTTTATGAATTCATGGGTTTTACTCAACTGAGGTTGGGGGATTTTGACCTGGAGTCATGTTGAAGGTAGTCCACCTAAAAATCTGGGCTTTTATGTGGTGAAGGACTCCAGAGTCAATAATAAGGTTTTGTCTTTAAAGTGATAAACCTGCCAAGAATCAGTGGATCACTTGATGATGCTACAGTGAGTATTGTTTAGGATGGAAAGGTGATGTTAGAGAAACTTCCAAGAGACAGTTCAGGCCTGGGAACAGACAGGGCAGAGATTTTAGAACAGTTAATGCAGAGCCTGTCTCAAATCTGATTAAGCAGCATGGCTGTTCATACATACTGGGATTGGATAGCCTCCACCAAAAAAAATCACCAAGAGCAAGTTTAACCATCTTATTAGACCTGTTTGGCCAATGTGCATAACCAACTCTGATTCCCACCTAACACTAACCAGGGTCAGCACAGATCCTGAGAAGATGGGAGTCTGCTGTTTGCACAGCATGAAATTCATTGAAAAAGGAACACTACAATATTATTTGGGGATTGGGGGTGGGAAGCAAGGGGAAATAGGAACATGATAGTGATAGCATGGTCTCTGTAGAGAAAATGAGTTCTGATTCTGTGACCAGTAAATGAGCACATGGATCCCTATCAGATATAACTTTTATGGATTATTAAAAAACCTCAGACAAAGTTCTGTCATGGAGACTATAAAAAATGTTAATAATGAGATTAGAAGAGCTATCTGGTCATGAATAAGAAAACTGACTTAAAACCAAAGGTAGGAGATAAAGTTATTTTTTGGATCAAGAGGTTTTAAAAGAAAAATGCTAGAAACTAGTCTTATTAAAGCAAGTGGGTATACAGTGACCTCTGTAAGTATGTTGACAACAATTTTTTAGGAGAGAAAACTGCCTAACCTTTGGGAAGAAGCTGCAGAAGGTTCTTACTAGGATCTATGCGTGGGAAGAGAAACAATAAGCTGCTTTGTGAGCCACAGTATATGTGATGTGTTTAGGGGGAAATAGTCCAAACTGTTCTTAAAAGGTAAGCTGTTAAGAGTCCAAAAGGCTCTGGAAATCACTTACAACTTGAAAAAAATTAAGTCTACCATGTCACTGTGGCCAAAGAGGCCAGCACATCACTGTGCATAGAAAACAACCCCCCAGACTCTGGGCCACCCCATTTTGCAACACCATGTGTAGTTTTTGTCAAGAAAGACAGAACTAGCAATTGTTCATGGAAGGATGAATAAAATGATCATGGGGATGAAAGGATCTCTGTGAGGTACGACACAGAGGTTCAGACTATTAGTGAAAATTGGCTGTGTGGTTCTGTGTAGAGATTGTAACTGAAATGTGCTATGATTAGCCAATATGAATTTTCACCAAATATTAAAAGCATCATATTGAAACCAGAAAGAAATAACTGAAGAACAGATGAAAGTGCTATGTGAAAGCATACAGATTTTCTAACTGAAAGCACTAAGAGGTAGTACAGGCTGACAATGTGAATAGGTTTAAGAAGGGTTAGAGCGAAGGCTCAGTCCAAGAACTGACATAGAGGTGGGGTGCATCCCACATTCTGGGGTTCCTCTCAGAGAGGCCAGCCCTCTCTTCATACAGTGGTCCTGGGGAGAAGCCTGAGCCCACCCAGGAGGATATGTCTCACTGGAAGGAGAAAGCTGTTCTTTGTGGAATAATCCAAGACAGCACACCTTAATTTGGCTGTATTTTTTACTCTTTGGGATACATGCTTTAAAATAGACCTGCAGTGAGTATTGAGAAATGTATGCAGTCTGAAGATGTTTGTGTATCTGTTTACATCCAGAATTCACATGCTGCCTCCCCCACTGCCACCACCACTGTAAAGTAATTGATTGCACTTGACTAAGCTTATCTCTATAGGTAAAAGAGCAGGCTTAGGTGGGGGACTGGCCCCTAAGCTGCTGCTGTGACCCACATCCCAAAGTGGTTCATTTCCCTGTCCACTGACTCACTGATGTGCTGGGGGTGGGGGTGTTTCCATCTTTTCCACACTGACCTGCAGTCTGTATATGCTAACCTGAAAGAACAGCGGCTGTAGCGACAAGGGAAACCTGACTAGGATAGTTGAGCACCCAATGCCCATGATTGCTTTTGGCCTTGTAACAAATTAATGAAGGCAGAGGAGCTTTCTTCCGCACTCCCCAGTGGACCATAGCAGAATGCACTATGCGACAAACTCATCCATCCTCTGGGATAAACAGACTGGTTTAACCATTGGAGTAGATAGTTTAGAGGAGACACCTGAGACTTTTGACAACCCATAGACCAACCCCTCCCTCCCTTTCCCTTATCTGATGCAGTGTTTGGACAGGAGGGTAGGTGTTGCTCCATGTAGCAAATGCTTTGGCTTATCAAAGAGGCAGCCAGGCATTTTGGACTAGGAAGAATCAGTGATCACTTTGCAGAAGACGTTTATGGACCACAAATATATTACGGAGGAACAGATTTTGCTGAGACTTAATCTAGTTTTATAACTCAATCATGGATCAACCATATGTAGCTAACTTGCAGTTTAAAGGGATCCCATCAGTGAAAAAAGACAGTTTTTTAAAAAAACTGACTGCTTTTAGTTAAAATGAAGAAAATCATCTCTTGTCAAAAGGTTTAAAGTTTCCCACTTGATCTTAAAAGCATGTCAAACAATCCACATCAGATGCCATAAATATGAACTGCAAGGGAAAATGATACAATCTAAGTGAATGGGAATTGGAATCAAAAAGGTTTGCTGCCCTTCTTAGAATGTTCTAAAATGTCAAGGCAGTTGCTTGTGTTTAACTGTGAACAAATAAAAATTTATTGTTTTGCACTATTCTGCTGTGTTTCATAAAATGACTCATGCCTTTGGGGGTTTATAGGCAAAAGTAGGGGACTAGTCCAAAGATGTAAAACCTCAAGGCTGTAGATTGGTGAACTTGGGTGGTGGATTCTGGCTTTAGTCTCTCCAAGACCTCAAGGCCTTTTTCTGCCAAATCATCTAGTGAACAGCCACAGCCTTTCTTTACATTCATCAAATTCATATCCCCTTCCCCAAATGGTAGCATATTGGTGTGGGAGGAAGTGACTTGAGTCCTCTCTACAGAGGAACCCTCAAAACCTGGCAGCCTGTTTGGGTTTTGACCACCATCAGGGTTTGTCACGGTGGTTTTAATAGGGCCCTTTTGGTGGAACCCCACTGACATTTAAGTTACCAAAACTTTATTAATCCTGAGCATTGCCAGTTGCATTTTGTGAGTATGCCAAGGGAAAAAAGTGCAGCTACTAGATACCACCTTATATATACCCCGTGCAAGTATTTGGAAGGAAGGAGGAAGCTACAAGCAAGTTTTAGGTCCACCCTAGCCTTAAGATTGGCTCAGGGAAGTACTGGGAAAGGACCAGTGATAAAGCATTCTGTTTGCAAATTGATTTTCGGTTGGTTGCCTCTGCCTGGTTGTCTCGAAATCAGTACTGCTGTGCCATTTTAATGGCAACGCAGTTCCTCCCAAACCATTGAGACAAAGAGCCCAAGGTGGCAGTGTTTAATCTGGAGAATTCAGATGTCTGTTGTTATACAAGGAGTTACTTGCTGCCTTAGAGGAAATGTTTAAATGCTGGCCTATGGATCTTTGGCACAAATTTCTTGGGAGCAAACTCTTTTTGGAGATGGGTATATAGCTGTAAATTTTTGAAGGATAAATCCCAGGAAATCAAGCTAGGCAGAGAGGTGGTAGAACACTTTTATTCTTGACTGTCTCCCCCCCGAGGAAGCAAGAATACAGAAGCTAAGTCGTCCCCTGTGAAGGGAAAAACCAACAGTCAGACAAGCTCTGCAGCTAGTGACACATTTTACAATGTTTGGGCTTCGATTACGTTGTCATAACCAGGTAATTATCCTCATACAAGAGCCACTGACTCAGAATTATCCTGACTTCTATCATACATCTTCCTTTCCCAAGTAAGAAAGAGGGAAAGGTGGGTTCATACCTTTTGTGATTTTGGTCCAGAGACCGAAACACACTTAGTTCAACATGCTGATCCTTACAACAATAGCCCTGTGAGCTGGGAGGACCCCCATTTTGCCGAGAGGCTGTGTGTTGCCAAAGTGGTGGGATGGTAGAACATAGAAGCTGTGTAGTTTCCTCCGGCTGACCGCTAAGCTGGACAGCTGAAACCCACAGAGGCCTAGCAAAGGGCTGGTGGCAGCTCAGAGAGGACCTGGGCAGGGCAGTTGCCTGCCCTCCCTCTCCGCCAGCCTTCCTGGAACACGCTCTACCAACAACACACTGTTTGGCAACTTGTCTTAAGTGAGGATCCTTTTCCATCAGCACAGAGCCTGACACTGAGGTGAGGAAAAGTTAAAAGCAAGTTAAAGCAAGAGAGGGTGAGAGATTCTCAATAATGTATTTGCCAGTCCCTTTTGGGGTTAATATGTGGCAGGGACTGTAGTACCAGTGAAAATGGATCGACCAGTGGAAACCAAATTAGATAACAAAGCAGCCCCACCATACCCAATAGGTCACTGGCTTTGATTTACAGTTTCCCACCAGGTGGTCTCCAAGGAGGTTTTAAATATCCTTTGTCTTTCGCTTTAGATTTGAGGCTGGCTTTTGGAAGTTCCCTACGTTTGTTTGTTTTTAACTGGGTCTGGGTATCAGTGGTTTGGTGAGGACAGGTGGCTCCCACGGTGCTTTTGGTGCATGCCTGGGGGTCACTCACTTGCTGCAGCACTTTGCGGGGTAACTTCTCCGAGTGGGCAATCCATTCTTTCATTAAGTCTAAGACTACGGGGATAAGACTAACCACGCCTCCGTAGTGGTTCCTGGCCTCGTCACAGCTGAGGTGGTTCACCACGTCATGAGGGTATCTGTAGCACATCAAGAGAGGACCAGGTGAGCCTGCGACTCCAGGGGCTCGCCTTGAAGTATAAAGGAACTTACAGACCTCAGGCAGGGGCTTCCTTCTGGTCGTGACTGCACATCAGAATCATCCTGGAAGGTTTTAAAACTCTGCACACCATGCTGAGGGTCTCTGTTCCCAAGGATTTTAGTGCACTAGGTTCAGGGGCCAAGAACCCAGGTAATTCTGGTGTGAAAGGCAGAGGTTGAGAACCACTGACCTGGGGTTTTTAGAAACCTGGATTAGGAGCTGTTGAGACCTGCTGTAACCCTTTCTAAATGTGAGTTTTAGTCCTTTTGACACTTCTAACCCTGACATCTAAAGAACTTCCTTGAGAATTGGTATATTGTGCTGTGGGTTTCATAGGTGTCAGAATTAGGGAACCCACATTGGTGGTGCTGATGCCCCTGGGACACAGGCTCCAGAGGTGCTGGGGGCATATTCTGCATGCAGTCCTCCCTTTGGACAGAGCATCTAGCTGGTGGTCTTTCCATGATGCCCAGGAAGCCCGATCCTGGTCAGTCCATTCCCAACGATCACCAGCAAACTGCATGATGCCTGGCACACAGGTGCTTGGGAAAAAGTGGGATGGCAATTTCCTGTGGATAATGAAAGCTCAAGCCAACGTAAGGACATTGAAAAAAAAAAAAAAAAGCAATTATGAGCACTTTGGATAGGTGGGCAGGATATGGGGGCTTCATCTCCCAGATGTTTTGGGAAGATGGGTCTATAAGGAGAAGGTCAGCAGGCTCACTTGTTGGCAAGTTGTTCCCTATGCACTGTATACAATGGTTCTAGACTTGGGGCTCACACGTTTAAAATACTAACACAAAAAAAGCAGGTAACTGCCTTAGGTATGCCAGCTTTTCATTTTGCCAAAAGGGTGCATTATCAAAAGTCTGCGTAACTTGTGTGGAAGTTACTTCCTTAAAGAAAAGTCATTTTAACACTAAAGAGGAAGGACAGACAGAATCTGGTCAACCTTCATGGACACTTATCTTTTTCTTTCTCACTTCTTTGCCCATTAGTGAAGCTCTTTGTGGGTTTCTGGAGACAACTGTTCTAGAACCCCTTTTCCCTTTGCCTGGTGCTGACTCCACCTAGAGGGTATGTGTCCTATGGTATTGGTGGCCTCAGAATCCTTCATTTTAAGTAAAATGGTTTGTTGAGCCAGAGTCATTGCAATAAATTAAAGGGAGTAGAATTTTCCATGTAGAAAAGATTGGACCATTAGCCACCTGATCCCTGGCAACAAAAGGAGAGGCTAAGCTGTCATCTGAACCCCTAAAAGTGTACCCCTTCCTCCAGGATCCCTGTCTCTCCTACCTGCACACTCCCTTCTTTTCCCCTCCACAGCCCCCCCCCCCCACTTCCTCCACCCCATACACACCCTGAGGCCTCAACAACAGATCAGAACTTACTTGGCTCTGAGGCTGCTTAAGTCATTGCTTTGGCTAACAAGGGTTTTGCATTTCTCTAGGAGGCTGTTGGTGACTGGGGTGCCAGAGTGCAGGGCTTCAAAGCGTTGGCAGAGTTTGTTCAGCTCCGTACAGATGTCCAGGAACATGAGCAGAATGCGCCGGTCCGTGGTGTTGTTGCAGTAGTGTTCCATGTAGCTCTGCACCTGCAGAGGCCACATGACATGAGCTGAGGCAGCACCAACAGGGTCTCTGTTCATTTATGGGCAAATATCCAGGAGCGCCCCCATCTCCCTTCTTTTTATTTTATTTTATTT